AAAAAAAAAAAATTTGTAAGATACCTAGGGATAAACCTAAATAAGGAAGTCAAAGACCTTTATGAAAAAAACTGTTAAAATCTTTAATAATATATTGAAAATGACACAAAAAAGTGGAAGGATATCTCATGTTCCTGGATTGGAAGAATTAATGTAATCAAAATGGCAATTCAATGTATATTAATTTAGATATTTAATGCAACTGCAGTTTCATCAGATTACCAGAGATTTTCTTCACAGACCTAGAAAAGGCAATCACAGAATTTTTCTAGAATCATAAAATAACTCTTATTGCCAAAGCAATCCTGTCAAGAAGAGTGGAGTGGGTGGCATCTCACTCCCTGACCCCAAAATATACTATAAAGCTGTGATAATCAAAGAAGCATGGTATTGGCATGAAAAAGACAGTTGGACCACGGGAATGGAATAGAGACCCCAGAAATAAAACCCCAAACATACAGCCAACTGATTTTGGACAAAGGATACATCAATCCAGTGGGAAAAGGAAAGCCTCTATAACAAATGGTCCTGGAAAAACTGATACCCATCTGCAGAAAAATGAAACCTGATCCCCATATTTCACCATTAACAAAAATCAACTCAAAATTGATCAAAGATCTAAATGTAAGACCTCAAAGCATAAAACTACTGATGTAAAACACTAAGGAAAATCTGAGAGGCATTAGGCAAATACTTCTTAAATAAGACCCCTAAAGCACAGGCAATAATCCCCAAAAAATAGACAAGTGGGATTACATCAAATTAAGAAATTCTTACACAGAAAAGTACACTGTAATTAGTGTGAATCAACCATCATCAGAATCGGAGAGTATTTTTGTAAACTATGCTTCAGATAAGAGACTGATAACTAGAATACACAGGAACTCAAGAGGCTTACCTGGAACAAAAAAGAGTAAATCAATTAAATGATGGGAAAATGAGCTGAACAAAAATACTCTCTAAGGAAGAGATATGAACAGCCAAAATAATACAAGAAAAAATGCTCAGCATAGCTCAGTCCAAGGGAGATGCAGATTAAAAACTCAATGAGATCCCATCTAAACCCTGTCAGAATGACAAAGATTAAAAACTGGTCAATGTTGGTGGGGTTATTGTGAAAAGGGAACTCCCCTACACTGTGGGTGGAAATGTAAATTGGTCCTGCCACTGTAGAAAACAGCATGGAGGTTCCTCAAAGATCTACAAATGTAAATAACATTTGATCCAGCAATTCCATTCCTGGGTACCTACCCAAAGGACAGGCAAATGCTCAGTCAGAAAAGCACTTACTTGCACATCAATGTTTATTGTGGCATTATTCATGATTGCTAAAACATGGAACCGACCCAATATCCACAAACAGATGAATGGATTGAAAAAGTGTGGCACATATGCTCTGTGGAATACTATTCAGCCATAAAAAATGACAAGACCCTGGTATTTGATAGAAAATGGTCAAATATGGAAGATTTATTGCTGAGTGAAGCAAGTCAGGCTATAAAAGAGAGACATTATATGTTTCCACTTAATATATTCTGACTGCAATCTATGGTAGAGAATGAAAGATTGGAGGATATAAAAGCATTGAAAATAGTTATGGACACTGGAGACAGGGTAGGAGGGTGTGAGAGGGGAAAAGTATACGGAAGGATATTAGGGAGAAAAACTAGTGAGGCAAGACATTTGTGGGACACAGTAATGGTTTATTACCTCTTGATGATAAATTGTATGGCATTCTCAACTGGACTGGTCTGAGGTGTATTTCATGTTAGGTAAATTCTCTTTACAAGCCAAATGATGTATGGTAGTGGAATGTATTAAAAATAATAACAATATTAATAATAATAAAAATTTAAAAAAACACATGGAAACTCCTCCTTTGTCTTGGTGACTAATAACTTTCATCTTTAAGTCTAATATAGAATCTTTTTTGGGCATTCACTTTATGGAGATGTGTGGTAATACTGTGTGGTAATAAAGCTGTGTGGTAATACCTAAAGGATTGCATTAATACTTCACAGGCACACAACTTATAGCATTGTTTTCCTTAAACATGTATTTGTTTACTGCTTCCACAA